TGGTTTGTAGGTCTAGCTAGTTAAAGTCGAAAGAAAATTACGGATGAATTTGTGCCATATATGGATTTTGGGATCGCAAACGAGTAGGGTTTGAAATGTTTGTGTACTATATGGTAGTGGGTGGAGTTTGAGAGATATACCAAGTTAATGGATAAAAGAGTGTAAGGATTTTCTAAAGGGTAGTATAAATGTCGGTATAATAGTGGTGACTATAATTATAGTTGTAATAGTGAAGGGTAGGGTTGGGGTTGCCACCAATAAGGAAGATTGTTAGGTCAAAAGACAATATTATATCCCTCCGATTTCAAGTGTTGATGTTATCAAATAAAGAAGTTCTTGACTAATAGTATAAAATTTTAAAATGACTAAGACAAACATTCTAAGATGCAAATCCGTTAATAAGATGAATTCTTGTATAAGACGAAAGTTGTATTAAAGCGATTATATTATTGCATAAGATGAACCCTTAGTCATAAAAAGATATATGCATTAAATTTTTATCATTTACGATCTTTAAATAAGAAATTGACTACATTTGAATAATTTATTAATAAACCAAATTTAAAAATACTTCCTTAGTACCAACATTCTACAAAAAGGAAAGAAAAACATGTTTTGTGTTAGAGAAAGACAAGCAAATTTCTGCAAACAGGAAAAGTTGTAGTCAAAAGTTACTTCATCATTACAATGTTCTGACACATGCATGGCTCTAGCCACTTGGTACTCAAAAGGTGATAAGTAGCTTCTTTAATCAAATAAGAAATGACAATTTGGTGAAAATGTTTAATGCAAGTATTTATTGCACCAACAAACACTTATCTCCTTAAGAAGCAAATTGTTAAAACATACGAAGTAAACCATGAGAGAGAAGCTCAATAATTTGCAACGATCATCTTCATTGAAGTCCTATAAAAAGAAGTTTGAAGTTTAGAACGAGGGCAACATTTTGAAAAAAGAAAACATTATTTCTTTATTCTTTTTGTAACCAATATTGTACTTAACTTGTTGTATCAGGTCTTGAAAGGAAGACAAAACAACTTTGTAGACCTTGTATAACTTTGAGTTATTGAGTTTGAGCTAAGAGAAGCTTGTTTATAAAAGAATACTCATTTTTTGAGCCTAGAGAGGCTTATTTTATAAAAGAATACTTGTTGTTTGAGCTTGAAGATGCTTGTTTGTAAAAAAAACTCGTTGTTTGAGCCTGAAGATGCTTGTTTGTAAAAAGAATACTTATTATTTCAGCCTGGAAAGACTTGTTTGTAAAAAATAATACTTGATATTGAAGCTTGGAGAGACTTTGTGTAAAAAGAATACTTAGGTAATTGCTTGAAAAGGTAAGTCAAATAATACTTAGGATTGAGCCATAATTGATTTGGTAAAGAATACTTGTATCTTTAATAAGATAGTGAAAATTGACTTGGTTAGATCAAGAACTAGATGTAGTCTTGGGGGTTGAGACAAACTAGTATAAATTTTTTCGTTCATTCTTTGTTTCGTTTTCCCTCTTCTATCTATTATGCTACTATTTTATTATTTTGCAAAAAAGTGTGAGCTTTTGAGAAACACTATTCAACCCTATCTTCCAATGTCTCTCTTTTCTCCACAAAGATGGTGTGGGGTTGACAAGTAGGGCAATGGTTGTGGTAGTAATGAGCAATGTAACATGGATTGGTGGTAGTATGTATGTGGGAGGAGGTGGAGTATGTACTATGAAAACACCATTGAAAGGAAGCTCCCACACTAAAATCTATCATTAAAAAGCTACAAAAGATAAAAACTAAGATATTTTCATTCATGTCTCTATAAACTAAGGGAATACATTATTTATAATCCAATAGCTACGAAGATGACCCTACAAGTGTCATCATCTAGTATTTAGGAAATTAAAACTATAAATTATATTATTATAATATCATTCTATTAATCCATTTGATTTAATTTCCTTTTTTGGGGCCTTTTAGGCCTATCTTATCATATTTTGAAGTTTATCATACATTGGATGATTATTGTATAAGTTAAGCAATCTATCCTTGCTAAGCAAGTAGTCATATAACGAGCTCAAACATTCATATCCTTTTGAGAATTACTTTTGTAAGCATTTTACCCTCTCTTAAATAATCCAAAAAAGACTTGTGTCCAAAGAATACTTGGTTGTAAATTAAGTATAGTTTATATAGTGTTTTTTTCCAAAAGTGACATAGGGAATAATTTGTAGTCATATGTGAGATAGAAAATACTTTGTAAGCATAAGTGACATTTAAGAATATTTGTTGTAACCTATATGGTTAGTGGAACCCTTCTTGTTGGAAGATAACTAAACATAGTTCAATTGAGTGAACTAACATAAAATTAAGTGTTTTAAACCTCTACCACCCATCATATTTTCTTGGACAATAATTTACAAACTAATGTCCGTAATATTTGTCCCTATGAAAAAAGTTGCAAAATTTACACATGTTGAACCTCTCTTTTGTGTGAGAGGTTAGGTGTTTGATGAAATGTATGAGAGGTGCTCTAGGATTTTTGGCTCACTCCAAGGTTGATGAAGGCCACTCCTAGGATTCACTCACTCAAGGTGGAGACAAGATAGGTTTGGTTGAAAATGACCAAGAGACTAAGGAGAGAAATCAAGACACTAAGACTCACTCAATATCAATATACTCCAAAGTATGTACAAGAGGTATAGTCTAGGGTATTTATAAGTGAGGGGTGAGGTTATAACCTAATGAGTAGGTGACAACTAGATCATCATTGGATGATCATTGCCATCCAAATTGATAAGGAAATGCATCCTAAATGTGGCCTTCCATGTGACAGCACATACTGGGTCAAAAATGGCATCTTTTGGTTCTTAGTTTAGCCACAACTAGGTGCATGATAAAAATTATGCAACCTAGGTACCGTTCTTCTTGAGCCAAAGCTTCACTAAGCCCAAAAGAACCACTCATGAACATGACAACCTCTATCCCACTCATAATACCCTAGCAAACAAGGTCCTAAACTCTAAGATACCCCAAAATACAAGGGCAAAATAGGAATACAAACAAAATAAATCCTACCATCTAGGGTACCCAAAATATAAGGGTAAAATAGGAAATAAAAATAAAAGACAATAAATCCTATGCTAATAATATAAAGACTTAAGAGATGACCAATACTCTACACTTATTATGAGTATGACTATAGGCATGGTAGCTCATCTATCATTCTCCACTCTCCTTGCTATACACATATAACTCCAATGATAGTCCTCCATCAAATAGTTTACATTAATTTTTCCATGCAATTCGAACTTGATAATAAAATTTATTCTTATTTATTATATTACTCCTTAATATACATCCCTTATGGGAATACTTTCGTTATAATCTTAATCTTATTACTAAAAAGGCATATATGTACAATAAGCTTAAAAATTAAGCTAAAAGTACCAACAAGCTTAAGAAAAAATAGCAATACTAAAAATTAAGATAAAAAAGACACAAATATAAAAAAAGTGGCTACATAACGTTAATTATCTTTAAATTTACTTTAATGTTGCAAGAAGGCTCATATAAATAGAAGTGTTGCTACATCGCTTACCAAATACTTGGAAAAAATATTAAACTAGACTTGAAAACAAATCAAAGCAAAGTAAAGTGAGAAAATACTCTTGATAATCAGAGATTATAATGAACATGCATGATTCATGAGATGACAAAGTTGAAAAGGTCTTGATTTATCATAATCACTTACCTTACATCCAAATATAAATGACCAAGTTGAGAAGGTCATGTGCTATAGCCACAAACATCGAATTCATATGTTACACATTTGAATTAAGAATTTATAAGTAACCAATTTTTTTTTTTAATAGTAATTGAACATCAATTTTTTTTTTAAAATTTCTATTTCTCTATTATTTTTATCCATATCTGTAAATTTATACATATATTTATACCTATATATAAGGATGATTTAATAATTACCTTTCATCTCCATTTTTTTTTGACACTTTTACCCTTCCTACAAATTATGTCTCTCTTGCTTTTATGTTTCATTAAATAAAAATCAAACAATTCAACTAATTAACCATTATTACTCTTTAACTACATGAAATTTTGTTTTTCCTGTTTTTTTCTTAGGAAGTTATGAAGCAATTTATCTTAATAAATTTATTTATAAATAATTTATTTAATATAATAAATAAAAGTTACTATATTACCAAAAGAGTGCTTTGTAGATATAGTTTAATAATAAATAATAGAATAAGTATAATAAATTATGTATACTAAACCACTCTATTTCTTTATGTATTGTTATAGATACTAATGTAAGAAAGACATTTTGTTCTTCTGAGTATTTTATGTAAAAAAGAATAAAAATAAATAAATAATAAAACTAATTAATGTTAAATATGTATGAGTAATTAATAATTAGATGGTGTAAGCAGTTATGAATAATTAATTAAACTGTATGAGATGTTTGAAAAATAAATTTATAAAAATATAGAAAAAAATAATAAAAAATAAAAACTAAATAAAAAAAAATCTAGGGGAGAAGAATATTTTGAAAGCTAAGTAAATATTAAATTTATAAATAATAAAGTACTTTATTTATACAAATAAACAAATTAGTCCAATATACAAATTTTTTATTTAAACTTAAATAAAATATAAATAGAGACATAAAGTTTTTCAACTCTCCTGATACAAATTATTATAACAACATTACGATTAATAAATATAATAATAAATTAAAAGAATTTCTAAAAAGAATTTTATTAAAAAAAATTACCTAAAAACTTTTTCTTTAAAGGAAAACTCTTAAAATACCTGAACACTATGTGTCGTAGTTAGTCGTGTTGAATATATGGAATTGATTGTTAAAAAAGACCGTGATTATATTATAATTCGTTGTTTTTATGTTGTAATTAATTAATTTTCCCATATGATATATTTTATTTTTTTAAATAGTTGAAATAAATATTCCAGATTACTTGAAATTTCTTAACGTATATAAAGTGTGTGTATCTGCACTTCTCACTTGTCAGGCTTGTGTTCAAAAAGTTCAACCCACCTTCACTCTCACTTCAACTCTGAATGTGAGTGAGTGCCTCCACCTTCCTCTTCGATTTCCCCATTTTTCTTTCATTTTATTTTCCTGCAGAATCACAATTGGGGTGTTGTGCTCCTATAATTTGTTTTTTTTTTTCTTTTTCTAATTATTACTGAAGGCTTGGCGGTTCAACAAGAAAAGAGGGATTTGTGTTCAAATTTCATCATGGTAAGCTTCCTTCTTCACTTTTTCCTGTGGCACGTTGTCACAAAAGTTCAATTTTTTATGGTTAAAAATCAACCCGGTGCACCATTTTTGTGTTCGGTGGGTTTGGTTTTTTCAGGGCGTGGCCAATCCGTTATACCCAATCGTTTATATGGGTTTAATGTTGTTCTGTGTATTTGTTTATTTTATGTAGTTGCTGGACTGTGTATTGCAACTAGATTATTTGTTTATTAGATCTTCTTGTAGAAAGCTGGACAAGCTTTTATGATGGAACTGCAATTTCATGTATTTTTATGTATTTATTTTATCATAGTCGGGTTTTTATTTTCCCCCTGTTGCTTATCATTTGTTTCAGTTTCATTGGTTGTGTCTTTTCTGTTTTCTTTTGTTGTTTTCAGGAGGTATTTAAAAGGGCCATAATACAACCCGGACCACCTGAAAGTTTTGCTTTGAGGACTGTTCAAGAAGTAATTAAGCCTCAGGTATGTGCACTCATTTGAAATTTTAACTCTTGTCCTGTGCATTGTAATGGGCACTGTGGGACTAGTTTGTAAAATTCCAGATCCAATAATGATTTTAGCTTTCTATTATGAGCAAGAGTAACGTGGTGATGGTGGTTATTAGAAATTTAGGATTTATTGTGTCTGTTAATCTGATTTTACTTTGGGTTTTTTCTGGGAGTGGTGGTGGTGGCTGGGTTGGGCGATATCTGAATGATGCAAAAAATGAAGAAATTTGTATTTAAGGCATTGTATAAAGAGAGTGGAGGAACTGTTGATTCATAGTAGTCAATCCCAAATAGTTGTGTGGTGCAGCCGACCCCAAAAACACTAGCTAGCAAGACAGCAGATAGCAGGATGACTTGTGTTTTGAATCCGAAACATAAAACATAGATTTATGCTACACATGTATATATGCTGAGAAACCTAAAATTAAAGAAAAGTTGTTGTTTCAACTTTTAGAGTGATTGAAGACATTACAGGTAAGAAAGAAGTAGATACAAAGTTGAAATGGTAGTGGGTAGGCCACAACAGTGATGAAATTACCAGAAAACTGGTTGGAAAAGAGATTGATCTTAAACCAGTGAGAACAGAGCCTGGACATGCTGTAAATTGGCCTGAAAAGTGCTGCATGGTGGAGCATGATGGTGAGTAGTGCTGGAAACTGATGGAGTAAATGCTCTGGAGAGGCTAGGGCTTGCACTTGCAGGGGTGCCTGAACGAATGTTAGGGCAATCGTAAAAGTCAACTAAATATCTGATTTTGCAATTTCACCCCAAAGCTTGAAACAACACTCAATCAGGGGCAAAACAGTCTTCATCCCCATATTCAAAAATTGCAGCTGCCAAGGCTGTAAACTGCCACAATAGCAGCTGTGAATCATGCCTCTCTAACTGTCACAGACATGTGCAATGTGACTCATTTCCAACTTCCAAGGAGCGGGGTCATCCCAAGAGGTGCTGTGACAGCACAATAGCTGTGCATAGTGCACTCTTAACCATTGTGTGATTGCAGAAGGATTTTGTGTTATATGATATCCAATTATCCACAGCTTTAGTTGTGAATAAGAAATATGTTTATCTTTTGACTTACATTGTTGATCCATGATCCATTTCCATGATGTTTGCATTAATGGTAGCATGAGGTTCCCTTTCTTGTGGTTTTCATGTGATTTTGTTTATTTGTTAACAACTGTGGTTAATTTAATTGACTTGTGTAACAGAAACAAACAAAATTGGCCCAAGATGAGAACCAGTTCCTAGAAAATATTCTACGGATGCTGCTTCAGGAGTTTGTGGTATGTCTAAATATAATATACTTTTGGATTCTCTCGAATTACTGCATTTATTCGACTAATCCATAAACCACGAAAATCTCTTTTTTTCCTATCTCTATCCCGATGAGCTGAAACCAAAGCTTTAATTTTCTGTTGAGTAATAGTTCGAGTAAGTCTTGAATGAGCTCCGCGAAAACTTGATGTAAATAAACGAATTTTTGTTCTCCGTTACTGTTTCTCCTCTACATAGATTGGTCGTTTATTTTGTATGTGCTTGTTGAATATATAATAACAATCTAGTTCTACAATTTTCCCCCCTTTTAAAATACTAATGAGAATGTTCCTGCTGTACATAAATTGTAAATTTTTTTGTTTTTTTTTTCATATGGTATTTTTTTATGCTTGATATTTACAGAACTGCAATTTAATTTAATTTCAATTTTACAACTGGAATTTTATTCCAATAATCAAGTGCACAAGAAGTACTAAGTATCATGCTTGTATGAAGACAAGAGTTCAAGGAAGTGAGTAATGGAAAAAACAGGACATTTAGACTGAGAGATTATTAAAACTCATTAATTACTTGGGCTGTTTATGAGACACAACACTGTCCTTAATCCCATATTTGTATTGTACTAATACTATTAATACCTAATGACACTTAAACCTATACTTTGTTAAACTACAGTAACTACTCACTTAATGTCAAAAAGCTTTCCGTATGATTATACTGTATTCTTTACGCAAACACTCACACTAGAAGTGTACTAGGATTTCAACATGTTACAAAATAAAAAACCCAAATAAAAGTAACATCAATAAAGCTAGCAAATCAGGATTCATTTGGTCAAGCCTGTGCTTGTTGCATTTGCAGACTGAGTTATACCAGTTGCACCATGACATTAACATGAAAAAAATTAAAATCTATAAACCATCAACAAATTCTGAAGACACTTAACTTTCCTCGAGTTTCTCACAGTAATAACCAAGAAACAAACCAATGACCAACATGGGCCATTTTCTTTTTTATTTCTACCTATTTTTTTTTCTTTATAAAAGAAAATTGTCATGCAGAAGATAGGAATATTACACAGGGCTTAAAATAAGAAAATAAAAGAGCTTATATTAAGGAACAAGAAGAGTGCTAGCAATACCTTGGATTTTATCCTAAAGTAAGTAGTGTTGAAAAGAGTGTATAAGAGAGTACATTGATAATAAAGTGTTAGAATGTGTTGTTAGAATTTCTGAGGAACAATGGACATCAATGCAGTGAAGCTATCCAACCTTCAACATATTTGTAAAGAAAACTCCTTTAAAAAGATAATGTGCTTTATACGACATGTAAAAAAATGCGTAATATATTCACATAGCAACTGCTTATCAGAATATATATCCTTAAAATGTGAATTATGCACTAATGCTACACCATATGCAGTATGTACTGAACTGTAGCAAATATTGCACATTGCCTCAAAACTTTGGCAGTTTTTACAAAAACCAGTAAAAAGTTTCAGCAAAAACTGGTCCAAGTATTTTCTTGTCACTCTTTCTCTCATGCAAATGTAATTGATTGGTACAGTATGGAGTGTTATGTAAACGCTTCACTGACTTATATAAAGTGGACTCTAAACTAAAAGAGTGTTTTAAGAAACACAATTTCAGATATTGGCCATCTAATGCTGCTGCTTCTGTTTTTTTATTTTTTTATTTTTTCCTTTCTATGTTTCACACATATTTCTGATCTGAAATTCTGAATTATTTTGCTTGGCTTCAGTCAGCAGCAGTACAGTCTGGGGAGAAAATAATGCAATTTGGTCAATCGATTGATTCTAGTGAAACTACCCAAGGCCACATCCCTCGCCTTCTTGGTCAGTGCACCATTTCATTTATCATTCATTTGTTCTTATAATTTTGATAAAATTTGATGTAGTGTATATTTTATTCTCCTACAAGGATTATTTTACTGGAGCATTTGTAGGAAATTGTAATGAAGTGTATATACAACATAAATCTTGTGAAAGGAAAGATAACAAAGAAAAATAAATGTGGAAACTATGGCCAAAAACCAGGAAAGAAAAAACAGGAGTAAGCAAATTATTTGATGTGTTACGTGTACACATAAGAGTACATGTAAAATTTAGGACTAAACTATTGCCAAACACATATTTCAACAATATTAAATGGATTTCCTGATAATAATGAGAAAAAAATAAGGAACACAATTTGTTTGATTGTTTATTCAAGTAGTTATTCTGATTCTGTGCAGAGTGGTAATTTGCCATCTGGAACATGGCATTAAATGTTTTCCATGGTAATGTCTTGTGTTATTGAAATCCTTTATAACCGTGTGGTCCATATCAAATTGATATTCACAATTATTTCCTTTGTGCTAATGCCAGCCTTATATTATAATTGTATTTGTTTACAGTTTTTAAGTATTTTTATTGAATTGGAGATGATATCGATTTTAAAGGCAGGGCAGGACTATGTCATCATTTTGACCTTAAATGGAGACAAAATTTGTTTCATTTTGCTAGTGAACAGTTAACACGTGTACAGTTAGTTAGAAAAGTCTTTTTTAGTTAGTTAGTGTGACTGTGTGACAGCTGAGGGAATCTATTTGGAGATTCTTATATGCTAAAATATTGAAAATCTATGTTTTGTGGATTTTATTATGGTCATTAACTTATACATTCACATATTTTTTTGTTCATTTAGGAATGCTTTAATGAGTTTTAGCTACATCTTCATTGTAAACTCCTATGTTTCTCGCCTATATGGCTTTCACTTTTCAGATATTGTGCTATATCTTTGTGAGAAAGAACACATCGAAGGTGGTATGATTTTTCAGCTGTTGGAAGACCTGACAGAAATGTCTACAATGAAAAACTGCAAAGATATTTTTGGTTATATAGAGAGTAAACAAGATATATTAGGCAAGGTATATTACTCAGTTGTTTTTAGCTGTGTTTGTCTATTTAATTATATTGGGAAAAACTCAGTCTCACATTCACTAGAGATAAGGCAATCAAAGAGTATATAAGTGGAGACAACCCTTATCTTACAAGTCGATTTAGTAAGGTTGAGTTAGGTTCGTAACTTGCTATTCTAAGATGGTATCAGCTCTATTTAGATCGATTCTAAAAGGGTCATCCACCATTTGATACATGTACCAAGCTCAATAGTATTAGGCGTGAGCGGGTGTTTGAGAAAAACCCAAGTCTTGCTTATCTAAATCATTAAAAAGGGTCACTTATCATTTATTTACGTACCAAGTCTAATAGTGTTAGATGTGAGAGGGTGTATTGGAAAAAATCCAAGTTTCATATCTACTAGAGATAAGATAATTAAAGAGTATATAAGTTACTTACCTTACAAACTAATTTCATAGGATTGAATTAGGCCCATTACTCACTATTATAAGAAATTATTTCTTGCATTAGTACCAGGTTGAGTTAGGCCTATAATTCACTATTATAAGAAATTATTTCTTGCATGAGTAACTTATCATGACCTGTATTTCTCTGGAACTTATGTATTTGCATGACATACAGCAAGAACTTTTTGCTCGAGGAAAACTTGTCATGCTGAGAACCTGCAATCAGCTTCTTCGCCGGCTGTCAAAGGTAGATTTAGTACGAGTTTATTATTTCTGCTTCTTTTAGATTTATGTTTCAACTTTGAGTGCTCTTTTTATCTCCTATTTTCCTGCTTTCCTTTTTTTGTTCATATCTGTGTATGTGGGAGTGAATAGTGGCATGTATTGTCGGCTCGTTTGGGGATAAACAAGGACATTTGCATGCATTATCATCTAAAAATGATCCAATTTTTATTTCATGACATTTTTATAGACTTTAGACAGAGTTTATAATCACTATATTTACTGGAGAATTTTGAATGACGTGAACTGATGCATGGATTGCATTAGTAGTACATGCAGACGAACAAAGGAGATAGGCAAAAGTAGGCTGATTATCAGTTACACTTTACAAATAATATCAATTAAGATTAAGTCCTTGAACTTTTTTTAATTTTCTTTCTCACCTACTGTGAAATGTTTTGGGTTCCATTGTAGTTTGAATTGTGTGGCTGCTGTTGACCCTATTCTAGTGCCTGCTTCTATTTCCTGCTTTTAGACTTGTTTGGTACTTAAAGATGTATTTCTTCCTGTCTATGATCATTCTGGCAACCCCACTGAGGATCATACCAGTGGTGGATTTTCTTACACTGAAGAATCATTTGGGAGACATTTTGTTTTGTTATTATCAATGAGTCATACAATGATGAATTGGTTATAATTCATGCCATCATTTGTAAGCATCCCAGCCATTAAGTGCTTCCAGTGGGATTTAAACCCGTGTTGAAAGTAAAGTCTGCTCACATGGAGCTTAGTTTCCCTGGTTCCTTTTTTTTTTTTTTTTTCTCCAGCTTCCTTGCTATTTGATAAAATTCATGCTTCCACTCCTTTTAAGCTACGATATTTTGCATAATCAGTGAACCAAGTCATTTTGTCACAATGATTTGAATTGTTTCCTGTATTTGAGTTAAAGGGAAGCAAATGATATGCTTTATGTTTTCTGCTTCCTGGATGGTGGAGGCATTGACTTGTTCAAGGTTCTTTTGCTTGAAAATTTTGAAGTTAACAAACAAATATCAACATCCTTTGTTCCATTCTTGTAGCAAAAGTATTGAATGAGTATTGTTTAACTCGGGATTGCAGAGGATCCATATTTCTGTTTGAAGAAATCTCTTTATTTGAGTTTCCTTTTAATGACATCCATACTTCGATCTGTTGTTTTTTGACATTATAGGCAAATGATGTGGTCTTTTGTGGAAGAATTCTGATGTTTCTAGCTCATTTCTTTCCTTTATCAGAGCGATCAGGTATAATTGTGTGAAGCCTATCTTTGCATTTGGTTTCGATTTCATTTTCTCGAGTCCTGGAATCCCTTGTCATTTTGATTTTTTTTTGGTAAACATTTGCAGCCTTAAATATCAAAGGAGTTTTTAACACATCAAACGAAACAAAATATGAAAAAGAACCCTTGGAAGGTACATCCTTACTTATTATCTTGGCTTTATCTAATTACCATTCTTACTATGTTCTTATTATACAAGGTGTATTTTTTGATACCAGCTAATAATTTTTGTCCTCACTTTCCAGGCATATGTATTGATTTCAATTTTTATCAGACTTTTTGGGGTCTGCAGGTAGGTCTTCTCACTGAAATTTTAGTTTTTGAGGTTGGAAAAGAGTTCTCTTCCATTTTCTTGGGTTCAGGCCTGTCTTGCTATTTGACACTAATTATTTGACTTGCTTTGCAATATCATATTTATCATATGATCTTATCATAAATACAACTAGTTCATCAAATGAGGAACTGCATTTAGGACTTCCTTCTTTCTAATGCATCAATTTCAGATTTTGTCTAGACAATATCATATTTATCATATGATCTCAGCTAGACAAAATCTGAAATCCATGGATGGTCCTTGTTTCTAGATGAAACTGACAATATGGTTATTTCTTTGGGAAAGACTGATAACTTTTTAGACAATTATGAAATTGATAGCGTGATCTATTTTTAAGAAATTAAACTAGTGGATGACATACATTGTCTTCTGATGTGATTTTGAATGGCAAGGTTTCTAACGAATGGTTCTCATATTAAAGCCAGAGTATACCATTTTGACTGCTTTTCTTTAAATAAGAATATAAATTAAACAACCATATTTGATCAGTCTTATTTTAATTAATGCAGGAATATTTCTCCAACCCTACTTCCATAAATCATGCTCCAGCAAAGTGGCAGAAATTCACCTCCAGTTTGTCGGTAATCCTTTATTTCATAGTTTCTTGTCTGTTTGTCTGCATGCATTTTTTTTTCTCAAATATGAAATTGCTGTAGTATTTGCCTTTTTACATCGGAACTTTTGTTGGATAAAAGGTTGTATTAAATACATTTGAAGCGCAACCTTTAAGTGACGAAGAAGGAGATGCTAATAATTTGGAGGAAGAGGCAGTTAATTTTAGTATAAAATATCTTACAAGCAGCAAGCTAATGGGTCTAGAGGTAAGCAGTTTGTTCAAGTCTTGGTGCTTACTACTAAAAATTCATGTTGAATTTTCAGTTAAGATGTTGATGTCGTGACTCAAGATCCCCTCTGTTTTTGTTTCATTTTGTTGGTGGAATTCCTAATAGTTAAAGGATCCTAGTTTTCGACGTCATGTTCTTGTGCAGTGTCTTATTTTGTTTGATTACTTGAAGGTAATATTTTTTTTTTAAATGATTAGTTCTTATGTAAAGTATATTTTACACAATATAGATTCGGTGATGGCTTCAACATCATTTGCTTTTTTTAGGCCCCAGGAAAAGGTGACAAGGATTTGCCATCTGATAATGTGGTCAGTGCTGCCTACCTTCAACTCTTTAAATTATGCTATATATTCTAAATTGACTTCATAAGTATGTGTCTACTTTTGGCTGTCAAAGCCCCTCTACTTGTCTTTCTACGTGCTCACCATTTGCTATTAGTGCCTTGCTTGGAATGATCTCTACTGTTTCTCTCGAACTACTCCTATAAAACAGATTGTGTTGGATTTTTTCTTGCTTTTATGATTGAAGGTGTGTCCCTACTTGCTAGAATCCTACTGGCAATACATTTCATAGTTATTCTTTTTTATTTTAAGATAAGGAGTCTTTCATCAAGAATTTTGATGGAATTCAAGAAAAATCAGAAAACAAGGGCATAGGAATTCTCTTTTGCTATGCAAGTATACTAAAAAATAAAGTAAGAAAAGAGAAATATATTAAGCTGAAAAGAGAAATCTAATCCCTCTGCATATTTTTTATCTATAACTGTTTGTGGATGCAATAGGCATCAGAAACTCCCTTCATTGTCTCTTTGTTGTACTAGCATTTTAAAACTTGAATGATGTGATTGCCTTAGAACGTGAAAGGAAGGATAACAAAGTAAAATCTTATTGGAATCATTACATGGAATATGTAATTGACCTAGATTAAGCACACTGAGTTTATGTTCATCCTCTCTTTATGGTTTATATACCCAGGGTTTCTTGTTCTTATTAATTTTCCATTTAAATTTTTACATTCAACAAGTAGTTTATTTTAATAGTAGCAGTATTGAGATTCAGTATGCTTGGGTTACCATAAGGCAAGAGTGTTTTGACGTTAGTAACTTAGTATCCTCCTTCATGTTATTAGATATCAAGTTGTTTGTCAAACATCTGTTCTTTGGTTATTTTTCTTTTTCTTTCCTGGCATTTGTGGAAACACGAATTGGTCTTTATGGAAGGACGAACCTTATTATAGCTTTTTTATTTCAAGACTGCTTATCTCCTAAGAAATATATGGATAGAAACTGCTGTTTTGATTGAGGTGGCATTTTTTAATGCAACCTTGGACTGCATATTTCCTTTTTTTAATTCAGAAAGAAGAGATTACATCATGTGAGGAACGTGTTAAAAAGCTTCTTGAATTGACACCACCAAAAGGAGCAGAGTTTCTACACAAAATTGAGCATATATTGGAACGTGAAAAGAATTGGGTGAGCATCTTCCTTAAACTCTTCCTCCCTGTGTTCTCTTGCTTTCTTGTTTGTAAACATGTGGTTGCTATTTATCATTAAATGTTAAGGTTATTTTTACTTTTTTAGTATTTAGCAAAATATAATCCTATTCTGTATTTTTTAGGTGTGGTGGAAACGTGATGGCTGCCTCCCATATGAAAAACAACCTGTAGAGAACAAAGCATTACCAGATGGGTCCAAGAAGCGGTATGCTTGTTGACTGACAAAATGTTTGTAACTTGATAGTGGGTCTTGATTATAGCACTAGAAATGTCAGAAACTTCAGGAAGATGAGAAAAATTAATTCATCATTTTCTTTAAGGTCAATTCTGAATTGAAATACTTGTTATTTATAAATGCATGTTGCTCTAAGTAGCCAATCATATGTTAGTTTCAATTGTGGAAGTTTATTTTTGATTAATTGAAACTCACTTTGGGTTGGTGGTACATCCAATTTACACTCCCACAATTGATGGCACTGTTTCAATGTTGCTAGTTTACTGAATGAAGTCCATAACAGTTTGTGGGCTGGGGTAAAACACATCTATCAATGTTTAATGTGGTGTTTAGGAATGAACATATTTGAAGATTTAAAAGGTAGAAAATAGAGGGAATGTATGTGTTCAATTAAAAAAATTAGGTAACTTTGAGGTGAAATTTAAAATAAATATAAAAGAAATAAGTAAATATCATATCAAATCTCCTAAGATATTTTTATTTACAACAGAAGTCTATAACAGTTTTTGGGCTGGGGTAAAACACATCCATCAATGTTTGATGTGGTGTTTAGGAATGAACTTATTTGAAGATTTAAAGGGTAGAAAATAGAGGAAATGTATGTATTCAATTAAAAAAAAATAGGTAACTTTGAGGTAAAATTTATGTAAGCTAAAAAATGATACAACTAGTTTTGGGTTGAAGTTACATGTGGACAGGATACAACTAGACTAAAATGATAGGCATTTGAGGTTCTTTTTTATTTAGAAAACAAAGCATCTGGCCACAGGCCATTGTAGATTTCTTTATTATTAAATTATTATTATTCTACTAATTTATACTGATTTTTTTTACAATGCTTATATTATCTTGTGATTTTCAGTAGGCCAAGATGGAGATTGGGTAATAAAGAGCTGTCTCAGTTGTGGAAATGGGCAGATCAAAATCCGGTAAGTTACTCTTTACAGAAGCTGTGGCTAGTTCTCAACATGCAAGGCCTTAATGTAGAAGTTAGTGATTGTGGATGCTGAACACAAGGGTTATGAATATGAGTATATATTGACGTGATATTCTGTACCTAACGTGAAACTGCTGTGGTATTGTGATTGTTCAGTCAAACCCATCATAATATGTCTAGATATTTCCCCTTTTCTAATGATAAATTGATAACTCATTCAAGTCAAATGTAACTGACAGCAGTAATAGGACAAGGACACCAATAACAGAAAACAGTGTTAGTGTTATTCAATTCAAAAGAGCTGAGCCAAAGTTCTTACAAGGACACGACCAGAGCCTCTGGCTCCTCAGATAATGCTGTTTTGGTCAAAATACTAATAACAATTTCCTTAGCATGCTGCATGTCTCATTACCTCACACCCCCTCATTCTCCAAATATTCCCACTATCCCCCTAACTGATTTGCCAACTCGGCAAACAATTTCTTCCCTTGTGATCTTCTGCTGCTTTCTGGAATGAAATATTCAGACCATATGTTTCTTTGGGCGTTCAGTCCAAATCCAATAGTTGACTTAAGTTCCCACTTTGCCTCGTTATCTGTAGCCCTTGAAGGAAAATAATAAAGGAGTGGCATATTGGTTGGTTCATGCATAATAAACTTTTCAATTTTTTAATTGATTTTGATTATATTAGAAAGGCCATTCTTGTCTCCATTATCAATTATCATGATTCATGATGTCACTAATGATGATGCACGTAGAGCAAAGTAATTTTTTTTCTATACATTGTCTTTGCATTATGTTATACTTAGTTTGTTTTGGTGGTTAAAAAACATTTTTTATTTAGTGTTTGTTTGTGGTGGTTGAAAAACATTTCTTTATTCCATTATGGTTGTCATTTATATGGATTGACATTTTTAGATTATCAATTTACACTCAATTTTTTGAATTACCAGAATGCTTTAACTGATCCTCAACGTGTTCAAACACCTTCAATTATGGAGTACTGGAAACCCTTGGCTGAAGATGTAAGCTTCCTTGTTCTTCTGCAATGAGCATATTGATTGTCCCTTCCTACCTCCATTACCTGTTTAACATTTGAGGACTGGTTATTCTGAATTTTCTCCATTATTTGGCGTTTAGTTTTATTTACTCCCTGTTTTACTGAATATCAAAATTATTTGCATTTTTTTAAATTCAGATGGATCCCTCTGCTGGAATAGAAGCTGAATATCATCACAAGAATAACAGGGTAATCCTCGGCTTAAATGTTCTTTTTTTGATGAAAATGAGGTTTTATTTAAGAGAAAAGAAAGAAATGTGATGAAATTTGAGAATTAGGTATCATCAAAAACCTTATAATGAAACAATGCTAAAGAACAAGGAAAAAATAATAATGTAGCTAGGCTGCCTATTCTCTCTTCATTTCAGAGATGGAAACTCCCTTGATAGTTGAACAGCTCTGGACTGAATGGCGAAGCCAGCCAAAAATATAAACCTGTCCCAAAAATTCATTTAAGGGAACATGTGCTTGGCTGCTACCTAATGCTCCAGGTCCAGGGTCTGTGTTGTCTGTAGTTGCCATAAGGTGATGGATATGAGAAAGGACGAAATGCCGGGCAGAGAAGGAAATTTGTCATCATCCACTTATCTAACTGATGAGATGTAATTTCTTAGAGCACTGCCTTTTGACCTTGTCTGTCAATTAAAGAACTTTTAATTTGACCCAAAGCATACCATACGTCAAAACATTTTTCATAAATTAAGGTGTGAAATGAGGTTTACCAGCTCTACCAAGCTTCAATTTCACTAGAAATAACCTGACATGGGCAAAATCTTCTGTGTGATCTATATCTGACTTTGGTTTTGAGCTTCCCTCCCCTTAATTTCTGTTACTTGGTTCTTGTTTAGCAGTTGTATGCAAAGTCAGGTGCAATGTTGTTTTCTTTGTCATCATCAAGTTGGAGTTGGTCTAACCGGTAGCAAGCCATTTTTAGAATATATGGAAATATCTTAAAATATCTACTCTTTATGTGTGTATATAATATATATATATATATATATATATATATAATTTTCACCCTTGCTCATTATCTCCTAGGATTAATTTACGTATTTCCTTATCTTATCATGATCTTTCCCTAATTAGTTAGGATTATGATTAATATAAGAGTTAGTGCTCTAGGTTTCACGAGCACATCAACGCATTGTAATATACGTCTCAGTTAATATCGGTTTATCACTTATTTTTCTTTCATCTCTCTTCCTTCCTTTGTGCCCTTAAAGACATACTTTTCAACTCCATACTTGTATTCTTTGTAAATGTGATTTCATGGATAGTGCCAAACAAAACTTTATAGTCTTGGTGGGGCTACCTTTACCCACCACTTTTATGATCTTGCTCTATGATCCTACCCTGATCTCACGAAAGCTATTGGGTATGATGAGGATTGATCCTATAAAAAAATATCACAAAATCCAAACCACGATCTTGACCTTTGCCTCCATTTATCTGTGATTAAGGGAGGAGCTAAAGCTTTTTAAAAGTCGACTGAATCAGTTGAGTAACCAATGGTTTAGCCTCCAAATGGACAATTTAGAAAATCATTATGCTTTCTTCTAGTAACATCAAAATATCTTCAAATTTCCATCAGTGAAGCAACTAGGACCCAATTGTAAATTGTTTACACAAGTCATATTCATTCTTCTGTTTAGTTATATTGCTGAGATTTGTAATTTTAGTTGTTGGAAATCTCACATCAACTAGTGGTATGGCCGTACTAGTATTTATTAGTGAGGAATAATCATTACCTTACAAGTTGGTTTTGTAGAAATTGTGTGTTTGTTACCACACATGTAATCTTCTATTTATAATCAATAAGGATACAAAATAAGGAAATATGAAAATAAAAGATAATGAGTAATAATGAGTAGAATCCCTAATTTTCATAATATAAGCTTCCCTAATTATATCAAATCATATATTTAACATTCCCTTTCAAATTGGAGCATATATGTGATAAAGACTTCTATAGAAATAAGAATGAGTTTGTATGCGGTATATCTGTGTATTTCTCAATGACAATTAGAAAGAAAATACAAAAGAGCAAGGGCTCCCAAGCCAGAGAATATCCTTTAGGCTCCCAACAACTAACAAATGTCATAAACGTGCCCCCCTATTCTCTCTACTTGCTACATGTATCAGACCTCGGTACTCTCTGTCCATAACTAACTCTCCATTATTTATTAATATTCCCCACTTACACTAAGGGCTAAGGGTCCCAATTTCTTGGGCATTCGAGTGTTGACCCGTAATGGCTTTTCTAATGAAGCCTGCTGTTGGTTCCTAACCATGTCATATAAACCAAACTTGTTACAAATGTCATTAAGCAGTAGATCATCACTGACTATATCTTTATCTCATAATTTGTTGACCTTTTAGTTTTAAATATATACAGCTAAGAGAAAAAAATTAACATGTTAAGTATAATGAAAAAAAATTGTAGAATAATTTTGTTTTTTTGACAGCACAATAAATTTTATTTGAGCAAAGAAAAGTTGCAAATAAATAGGAGAAAAACAATAAAACAAAGCCAATGCAGAAACAGAACATGAATTAAAAACAGCTGTCCACTTACTCTTCACAACTATTAAAGAGTGTAGACAACCTTGTGAAACACCCTAAGCTTATCATAAGACGCACAACGACACCATTCTTATCCTTTAGCAAGTCTGAAGAGAAACAATTTCATTAAAAAAATATATGGGCATTTGGCTGCAACTTAAGTCCCAAAATCTCTGCTTATGTAGCATCTTTCCATAGAATAGAATTTAAAGTTTACCAAAAGAAATCCTCCAAATTGTGGTGGAAGCTTATTGTCTGATGATTAGTTTTCAACATGAAAACTTTATATATCTTTCTTGTCAATTCAGGTTTATTGTTGGAAAGGTCTTCGGCTTTCAGCACGACAAGACTTGGAGGGATTTTCTAAGGTATCATGAGTTTTTTATTCTGCAATTTGTTCTGCTTCGTTTTTTAGGTTCAACGTAAATTATATATTTTGGTTGCAGTTTACTGATCATGGCATTGAAGGGGTTGTCCCACTAGAACTTTTGCCACCTGATGTCCGATCTAAATACCAAGCTAAACCAAATGACAGAGCTAAACGTAGTAAAAAGGAAGAAGCAAAAGGCACTGCCCATCAAGTTGAGGAAAATCAGGTTTCTTGATTCAGATCCAACTTTCCATTTTTCATTTTTAATTACATCAGCTCAAGAGATTTTGCAGTTCTCTTTATTTAGCATCTGTAATAATGAATCTAATGCCTAAACGGATTCCATGAATATATTCACTCTATTTCATGTTGTCATTTTTTTTCTGTTGTGAAAAAATAGATTGCTGCAACTGCGACTGAGATCGATGGCATTAGAACAGATAGCACAGCAACAGCTATGGAGTTTGATGCCGCCACTGTTGCTGGTACTCAAGGTGGAACCCTGACACCTGATGAACTTCAGAAGCACAGCCCAGACACTGATGTTGGTCAGGAAGCAGGCCAATTGGAAGCAGATGCCGAAGTTGAGGCAGGAATCATAGATGGAGAGACAGATGCAGATGTTGACTTAGCTGAGGGTTGACATGCAGAGTGAATGCCAGCATCATGTTATTGTTGACAGAGATAGCTGCAATATTCATCACCAGGTCAAGTTAAAGCCACTTTCTCTTCTAATTATCTGATCACAGGAAGGAAATTATCTGGACTTTTGGTATGAATGTCATTTGAAATTGGTTCTCTTCATGAACTACAGGCATAATTGTACTTAGATGGAAAAGAATGAAATATACTGAATCCGAGTTTTTCCAAAACGTGCTTTCCCTGCAATCAAAACTTGAAACTGATTTTATTAATGTCAAACGCTAGATTCACTAGATTGTGTAACGTGAATAATAAACATGGATTTAAGGTGAAGTGTGGAAAGTGAGAAATTAATAGTGTGTTTGGATAAATATAAAATAGTAATTTCTTTTATTTTATTGTTTGGTTGAATTTAAAATATTTTAGAATGAAATATTTTGTTTGAAAAGCGGATTTAGAAAGAAAAAAAATGTAATATCTCTTATTTCCTTTCTCTTCCCTCTCTCTTCTCTTTCTTCCTTTTACCCCTTGTCTCTCTCCTCTATTTATCTCATTTCTCTCTTATTATAAATAAGGTGAATGCGGGGTCAAAAAAAAGTCGCTTACCTATATAATGTATCTTATTTATCCTATAAATCGCATAAATTAAAATACTAATTCTTACCTTTCTCTGCTTCTCTTACATTTGCTGCATTGAGTTTTTCGTTATAATAACGACTGGGAAATTGTATTTTTGGATGGATGAAAATCAATTGTTTTGCTTATATTCTATGCAATAACGTTTACGTTTACATTACCAAAAATATTGAGATGGATATACAACATTCTTACATCTGTTTCAAGATATGTAAACATATTTCTAACTAAATAATTTCCAGAGGCAAATATTAAGGATATTTTTGCCTTATAATTATATATTCCTGGGAATAAGTTCTAAAGGATGATACAAAATACCAGACATGAAAAGTGCAACCATAATGTTATTAAGGGGAAAAATAATTATATAATTGTATAAGTTCCACAAAATGTTTTCACAATAGCTATTTTGGATGATTTTGTAAAAATGAGAGAAAAACATTAAAAAATCATAGTTTTGAAAATTGGCTCTATCAATCCAAATCTCTTATTAGATGTTTATACTTTGGATTCAGTATAACTCGGCGGAATATTTTCAAACCACCAAACCCAGGGTTAATAAGAAGATACGGTTTATATTAGCTTCACATTTGTTATCATTGATGTTCCTTTTTCACGCTGTCCAAGCTGAATTGCAACACTCTTTTCACGGCTTTTTGACCTGAGTAAATAATAAAAAAAAATATACGAAATAAATTAAAAAAAATATATTTATCCAAATAGGTGGTTTTGGACACGTGGGCGCCAACATGGCAGTAAAAACGCCTAGGAGGTGGGCGTTTTTTAGAAAACTCCTCCCCCCAAGCGCCTTCTTTTGGTGATGTGGTTGGGGCACCTTTAAACTAAAAACGCATGAGGGGGAGGCGCTTTGTTGACGTGTCAGGTTTGAGAAGAAAACGCCCCTCCTGGGCACCTTGTACACATGATAGTCCTTCATTGAAGGAGTCTGGGGTGGACGCGCCATTTGTTGTCCATTTGACACGTGGCACATCCCCCCCCCCATTTTTTGTATAAGTGTTATCCAAGAGAGTAAAGGGGCAGAAGGTTTTTTGAGAGAGAAAACGCTTGAAGTCCCGGCCGCTCTGAGAAAACGGTTCTAGCAGTTGATTTTAAAAAATTTGATTGGCTCACAAAATTTTATTTGCACGTTGTTATCAGGTATGCTTTTTTACTTTATTTATTTTAAAATTAGAAATAAATATTAAAATAGAAAATGTGTAGGGCTGGTCCGTGAATGGTTTCTGGGTGTGGAACGGCCCGTTCTGATTTCAGAACGGGCCGTTCTGATTTCAGAAGGGACCGTTCTGATTGAAGAAATTGTTTGTTATTTTGGTCTGGAACGGGCCGTTTTGAAAGTAGAAGCGGTCGTTGTGGGGCCGTTGTGGGGTCGTTCTGGTTGTTTGATTTTATGAAAAATGGAAGGGATTAGAACGGCCCGTTTTGCTTTCGGAACGACCTGTTCCAGTACCCAATTTTAGACACGTTTTGTGCAATGAGAACGGCTCATTCTGGTTTCAGAACGGGCCATTCTCATTGCAGTCATGAAGGATTTCAGTTGAAAATTTTGAATTATTATGAGGGATTAAATTAGGTATTTAGGCATTTATAAAATTTATAATTAATTAATTGTTTGAGTTTAATATTTAATTTGTTTGTTTGTTTAATTATATCAGGATGTCTACACAAATGATTCATGCAGGACCTATCGACGATTCATTATTAAGGCTTCTACCATTCCATATATTTGAGCATATATGGAATGGAGCTGAAGATAGGGTTCTGAAGGTTAGGAGTGCAAAACAATCAGAGTTGCGTGGTGGTGACATTCCAGCTGCTGTTCATGATCTTCTACAAAGGGCTGGTTTTATGGGGATGGCACAGATTAGTTACTTTCCTGTGGACAATCATTTAATATCTGCGTTAGTTAAGCGATGGAGACCAGAGACCCACACATTTCACATGCCCTTCGGCGAGTGTACTATCACGTTGGAGGATGTTGCAATTTTACTTGGGTTGAAGATCTCTGGGGCACCCATTACTGGATATGCAACTATGGATTGGGGAGCTATTGTGCAGCGCCTTCTTGGCATGACACCCCCTGAGTCAATGCTTGCTGGCAGTCGATTGAGGATGAGCTGGATTGACCGGCACTTTTCGGATGTTTCTAAGCATATACATAGCCAGGAACAGTTGGAACGCTATACTAGAGCGTTCATTTTACGCATAATCGGAGGATATTTATTAACTGATCACTCTAGCTCGCTTGTATCCCTCAGATACCTGAGTTTCCTCGAAGACCTAGATGTTTGTGGTCAAATGAGTTGGGGGTCATGCATCCTGGCGAATATGTACAGGGAGTTGTGCCTGGCCACGAATTATGATCACAAGGAAATTGGTGGTTCAGGTATTTTACTGCAATTATGGGCATGGTATCGGTTTCCATTTATTGCACCACCTCATCCACCTTTATCTACATTTCATGTTCCTCTAGGGGCAAGGTTAGTAACTATATTACTTGTGATCGATTTAAGAATAAATATATTTAGAATTAATTTGTAAATTGAAGAATTAATGGTTTTTTTGTTTTTATAACAGGTGGAATTATGCCTTGCATAAACCTAGAGAGGAAACAAAAGAAAAAATTGTGAAATATAGAGAGTATTTTGACCGTTTAAAAAGAGAGGATGAAGTTTTAATTTATAAAATTATATTGAAGATTTAGATTAAAAAATTGTGATTATAAATGATAATTGCTAAGTACTTAATTGTTTTGTTATTTTGCAGTTTGTATGGCAACCATACTTGGAGTTACTACCTACATTACCTCCTTACTGTTTTGAGGACTTACAAGTATGGAGGTCAACTATCCCATTGATTAATCTTCACATCGTCGAGTATTATTACGCAGATCGTGTCATGCGACAATTTGGGATGGTCCAACACATTCATGCGCCTCCTATTCATTCGGAGAAATTGCATGATCTTTCCTTGAGAGGCAAGGATAATACGGACTGGTCACGCATGCACGTTCAATTTGTGCAGGAGTGGCAGTCACGACATGATCGTGTATGGACACAACCTGCGTGTGATACACCACACTTGAGTAATAGCTCAGAATACATGGTGTGGTATAGGAAACATACAAGGCGATGGATTTCTCCTTCTAGTGCAAAGGAAGGATATGTGGTGAGTACAAATCTACGCATGTATTTAAATAATTACTTGTGACATATTTACGAATTTAGTGTTCTGATGATATTTATTATGTTATTTGTAGACCGATTTTCTAGAACACATGTATCATGGCACCAGTGAAGAACATAGGGATTCCTTCGATTTTAACATGATGCATGAGAGGATCGGTCACTGCTTGCAGTTGCGAGACGAGGTGAGCAGGGTGAGTTTCCCTTTTACACCGGTTGCATCTGCAACATTACCACAACCAAACGCAGTTCAGGTGGAGCACATTGGGGCAGGTCGACAAGAAGGAAAGGGGCTAAGTCATTGACGAAGGCGAGTTGAGCACCAGGGTTTACAGTTGTCAGTTCCTATGATTGAGCCACCAACTGGGACATATTATCCGACTACATTGCCCCCGGATGCAGATGTGACACAATAGGTATGGTCCTGCACAAGACCCATCTTTTGGGTTTGACACAGCAGGAGTGTCTGGTGCAGGGAATTTCCTGGCATCGGAGTCGATGGGTCATGTCCCGGGTATGTCGGGTGGTAGTATGTTCCAGTTTACACCTACTCCATATGTTCCACACATGATCTCTCCATCAGCACCTATGATGGATTATCGAGATTATCGATTTGGACAGGCCTCATGTATGATAGGAGGATTTTATGGTGGGGATACGTCTTCCCAACATCCAGGTTTAAGGCATGATTTGAATACAGCATTAGTAGCGAAAGCTGGAAGCCCTGAGGGAGATGGTGATGAGGTAATTCGGAGAACCCAGATCGTGGTGCTCGCCATAGACAACGCCAATGTATACTAAGTCCCCATGAGCAGCACATGCGGAGAAATGAATAGGTAATTTGAATAATAAGTTGTTAGTACTTAAACGTAATTGATCGTTCTATATTTATTTGTTGACGTAAATGTTTAGTTTACTAATATTAAATTTTTTTTACAGTTGATATGCCACCGGACCACGCTGGTTACACGCTCCAGAAATACGATAATGCGTTTGAGAAGTAATTTGTATTTTTTTTAATAGTTACTGTAAACGTTGTTGTAATTATTTTATTGTAATACATAACAGTTTAATTGAACTAGAATTAACATATGATTTAACATTGGAGGAATTTTATTCTTTAAATACACAGCAAAATACAAACTTGCAATGCGTTATTGATTACATCTTCATCCAGCATAGAGCAATTGGTTCTATTATGCCCTTCACGCCTACAATGTCCACATCGTTGCCTCCTTTGGGATTCAGTCCAATTCCTTTCATTTCTAATGCGGGTGGATTTTGGGCGTCCCTTTGCACGTCTCATTGTCTCATCTGGGAGTATCCGCGGTCCATTATTAGGTTCAATATTTTCATCGCTGCCAAGTGGGAACCATTGACCTGAATATGCCGCTTTGATGTATTCGTTAGTATATGCAGCATCAACAAAAGTTAATGGATATATACGAACG